GGGGGGCGTAATGCGAGTTGTGGATTAAGTCTGAAACTCCCAGATTACTGGATTACTCTTTGGACCCGCTGTAATGGAGGTCTCAGGGAAACTGGCCTCTGTGTGTGCGCGCCTGGTTTGGCTGTACTAAGATGATTACGTGAAGAGACGGAAATGCTCCCATGTGTCCCACATTGAAAGAAAGAAGCATGTGACGGGCCCCGACAGGTTGCCGATTATAAAGCATTGGAAGTAAGCGAAATGACCCCCGTCAAGGCGCGGCTGTCTAAGGTCCACCCCCGACAACAAAGATGCCTGAATGCGAGTCAATGAAGCAAAAATGTCGCGAAATACTTAAAGAACGCGAAATAAGGGATTTTAAATGTTCTTTTTCAAAACTGTGAGAAAACTGACCCCCCCCAAGTTTTTTTTAAATGTTAATTTATACATGCAGTATTTATATATATGCTGTATCCTTTTACTGTATGATGCATCGAAGGCATCGTGCAAAGTGGTGCCGCGGCGAGCGGCCCTCCAAAGGCCGCAGCGCAGCACCCATTCAAACATGTGATGGAGACCCAAAGCCATGTGACCTACTTGATCACAAGAACTTTCTGTCTTGAGTCAGCAGGTCTTTTCCATTTTTAGTCAGGCCAACCAATGTGATGACTTGTTTTTTCATTCCTTCGGCCACACCCAACACAATTTTGCCATTCGGAGCCTGCTTGTTGTTGCCTGGAGCGTTTTCTCCATCAATTGCGGCCGTTCAGCAGATGGAATGCAATGCGTCAATTGGATTCAGGTCAGGCCATGACAAAACATTCCCACTTCTTTGGCCTCCAAAACTCTGAACTTGCTTCGGCGGTATGCTTTGGGTCATTGTCCATCTGCACTGGGAAGCACCTTCCAAATTGCATTTGTTAAAACTGGAGCACGTAAAGTTGCCCGAAACACTTCCGAATTCAGTGGGTAAGTAAAGCTGCCGATGAAAGTGGTTGTCTTGTGTTTATTGATGTGGCGACTGCAGACAAAAGACTTTTTGCAGGCGAACGAGTAGACTCACATGTCCACACCGATTTTAACACTGCTTCAAACCGCTTACCTTTAACCTCTGGCTGGAACGTCGCGGATGTCTGACATCACAGGGCGCCTGATGGTTCACAGGCGCTCGGAGGGAAGTGTCGTCGTCCATATCGGAGAAGCGGGCCTGAAGGGGAAATGCGATGGTCAATGAGGCGCCGACTAACCGGGCGGTGGGAACCGGGAGCGAGGCGTGGCGGGGCCCAACGGGGTACAACGCGGACATCCCATAAAGACAAACGAGCGGCACTCACTGATTCGCTGTCCGACTGGGAAGAGTGGGCAGGCTTGCAGTGGCGATTGTTCTCCGACTGGCTGGTGAGGGTGGAGCGGCGGGTGGACTGGAAGCTGCTGCTGCTCAAGCGGTCGCGCACGCGCACACACAGCAGCGCACCCAGGTAGGGCACGTAGCGGCTGATTGCAGACCTACCACATCCACGTCGAGTCATGCTGGGAAATATTCTTGACATCTAGTATTTGTGTTCAATTCTCCCTTCCTGTTTATTTTGGGTGTAATTCCATTGTCGGCCACTAGATGGGGGGCACACTATTATGTTTTACACTAAATTTCAAAGAAGTGAAAACAGGAAGTATTTCAAGATCAGCTGTATTTATGCTGTGTGACATTGAATGTCTTAATCCTCTCCCATCCAGCTTTTTACGCCTACAGAAAGCGACAGCTGTGGGGTTCATTTTATAATAAAAATACGAAATTAGCCAAATATGGGTGTGTGATAATATTACATGCATGGTATACGTCCTACCTGTACTTGGGGTGCGTGATTGCGTAAATGATGGGGTTGTGGATGGCTGACGCTTTGGCGATCACTGCCGGGACAGAATTCATGTACGGGGTCAGCAGGTCTGCATACCTAAATCGAAAAACAAATTCAGGAGATGAATGGATAGAGAGAGAAAATGAAAAGATCATCAGTTGAGAACATTAACAGAAAGCCACAAAATATGTCATTATTTCATTCAATTATTGGAAAAAAATGATCTTAAAAATAATATTCAAACATACTAAGACAGTGACACGCTGTGTTGCTGTGTGACACTCACACCTACCCGGCGAAAGCGGTGAGCGCGGTGCAAGAGTAGGGGGCCCAGGAGATGATGAATAGCAGGATAACAATCAACGCGATCTTGGCCATCTTCCACTCGCTCTTCATCTTGTGGAACCTCTTGGCCGACTCCCTGGTGCCCTCACAGTTGATCTTTTCGAAGGCCCTGCCCAGCATCATCGGCGTTTAGCATTTTAGCTTTAGCAGCAGAGCTGGCAAAAGTACTCATGTTCTGCGATTAAGTACAGTACTTGCACTTTATTACTTCCCACTACTGTTTCTCACAGACCGAGTTATACCGACCGGGTGGTGTGTCGGATGGCCCTGAAGATGCAGCAGTAGCAGAAGATGATGACGATCAGCGGGATGAAGAAGACGAAGGTGAAAAGCAGCATGGTATAGGAGCGCACGGCCGGCGTGAACGTCATGTAGTCCCACGAACACGACGTCATGAGACCCTCCGGAACGTAAGCGCCTGTAACGTACGGTACATACTATCCAACAAATATACTTATGAAGTGGGTTGAGGGTGTGTGCGACACAGAGGGAGTTGCCAATTTTCATTTCTATACAGCACTGTGACAAACTTAATGTTTGGCATTCCCCACAGCTCTGCCCTTGGTCCTCTGACTTTGTCTGTGTATGATCGCAAAATAACACAGGAAGTTACCATGTTTCAATTGAACTTTTTTTTTAAGACGTCTTTTTTTAATTCATCATATTTATTTAGAGACAACAGTGACTAAATTAATATTTTGGTGATCACCAAGGCTCTGTCCGTGGTCCCCTCATTTTCAGTAGACTAGCACTTTTTCACATAAGGTAAATTACTGTGTTCAGATTGTCCTTTTTAAGGCTTTTTTTTATCCCCTTATTTTTGTCTTTCTACCTCTGCTTTCTCACATCATCACAAGAGTTGTTTTGTTTATTTTTGCTCAGCACCTCTCAAAACTCGGCCGCCTGCGCGAGTGTGTCTATTACCAGCAATTAAGGGAATTTTTCACCGTGTTTCCGAGCATTAATAAACATCCGTTTTACTGTGCTTGCATCTAAGTGCCATCTGTAGAGAAAATGTGGAGGGGAAAAGACAAAAAACAGCAATTTTCCCTCACTCGTGTGTGTGTGTGTGTGTGTGTGTGTGTTGGACAGCCTGTAGAGTTAAGCAGCCCTGGGGGAAAAAAAACAAGACAGCAGCAGTGTGAAGTAAGGTAAACCCTCTGGGCGCGATATCACCTAATTGCTTTTGCACTTGTGACTGACGTGTTGACACACGGTAAAGGAGGCTGGCACATTGGAGACACACGCACGCACGAGTGCACGTCCGCACACACAAACGGAAGTTTGCACTCACTCCAGCCGAAGAAGGGAGGCAAGCTCCAGCCCATGGAGTACAGCCAGGCCACCGCCACGATGCTCAGCGCTTTCCTGCGAGACATGGCCCCCAGCGAGGCCAACGGCCGCGTGATCACCACGTAGCGATCCACCGCGATCACCATCAGCGTCATCATGCTGCAGATGCCGAAGAGGGCGCCGCAGAAGGCGTACAACTCGCAGCCTGCGCCAAGACAAACAAGGGAAACGGAAGTGACACAAAAAAAAAAAAAAAAAACACATTTTCCCACAGCGTCGAAAAAATCGCAGGCGGCGGAAAACAAATGTGAAGCTGCCGTCCGAAATTCAACTAAAAAGTGGCTCAGGGATTCACAGGAACACAGAAGTCGGAAGGAATTGTGGTTACATAACGAAAACGTCTTGTTTTTGAAGGAGGATTGGAAATGGCCGAATCGTAATAACGTACGGGATGGGTTATTGTGAGCAAACACGAAGGGGCCTCGGTTGCATGAGCGGTTGAAAGAAAAGAAAGAAAAACCAAAGGGTGCACCGAGAACAGGGTTTCAAATATTGACTTTTCCCCGCTGTAATAAATGCAACGCGCACGTTGTCATTCAGCCGTTGCAGGACTGCAAACATGCCTCCTGATTGACTTGATCAAGTCGATCCATTATGCATGAAGATGCCTGACATGCTTCTAATGGATGAGCCTCACACACACACACACACACACACACACGCACACACACACGATCGGACAAAATCAGCCAATCATGGCCTAATCAGCTACCGTATCCTCAGGCCTTGCGTATTTATTTCAAAAGCAAACTATCAAACATGTTGGCAGTCACTCTCCTGCACAAACACACTCTCTCACGGACACTCGCGTGCTCGCTCACAAGACACACACACACACACACACACACACAGACACACACACACACACACACACAGGGAGAAGTTGGAGAGTGGCAGCAAAGTGGACAACAGCGACACACACACAAAAAAAAAAAGAGATCAAATTCATCCCAAAAAAACAACAACACCCGCCAATGACACCGAGCAAAACAGATTTTATGATCGTGGAACTGACTTCATTTGTATCTCCAGGCCCTGCTTGTACCTGTGTGTTGTCAATCCATAATTAACAGGATGAAAAGAAAAGACAAAAGGATTGAAAAGATGAAGGGGAGTTGTTTTTTTTTTTTTGCAATCTCTTTAATCATCTTGGGTCTTTGGTGGGCGAGGGAATGTACCGCTTTCTTTTCAAGCCTTTTTCTTTTCTTGACTCAAAAAAATTATTTTTTTTCTCCCCCCCAGCCCACCAGCCCCCTTCTCAAGTCGACATCGGTGAAGTGGTGGCGATGATCGGCCCTTTTCATGAAGGTCAGGACAACTCCTGAAGGAAAACAGGCTCTCTGCCGACTATCACTGTTTGATCAGCGGATCCTCTCGTTCTACACTCCCGCTGGGACACACACACACACACACACACACACACACACACACACACACACACACACACACACACACACACACATTTTTCAACACGCCGAGTGATGGAATCGGGCAGGAAGAGACGTCCTTCAGCCGCTTTGCCAGGCGTAAGCGATGATGGCGGCGCGCGCGACGCCGGCGGAATGTTAACGGCCGTTCACGCTCGATAAGGCGGCGAGCAAAACAACGCCGGCGCGCATATGACTTGGCGATTCGCGACGAGGCTACCTTTCTTGGCGAAGATCCACCTCTTGTGCATGCTGGTGACGAAGAAGACGGGCGCCTGAGTCAGACACATGAAGAAGTCGGTGACGGCCAAGTTGATGATGAAGATGTTGGACGGCGTCCGCAGGCTTCGGCTTCTGCGAGCAGATTAGGACTTTGTCAGTTCGTCATTCGCCGCCGACACTACATACGGGGCGGAAGAAAGTGGGCTCAAAGTTGAAATCGATCAGAGACACTATAATACAAAAAATATATTTTTAAAAAAGTGAAATAACAAAAACAGCAAATACACCCCCCCCAAAAAAAGCTATGAAATAAAACTAAACAATATATGATCAAATGAATAACGGTGGGAAAAAAAATGAAAACAAAGAAAAAAAACTAAAAACAAAATACCAAAAATATAAAAATAAATATAAACCAACATAAATACAATGAAAAAAAATCAAAATAAACAAAATAAAACAAAAATAAGATGCAAAAAACAAAGTCAGAAACCACAAATCAAACCACAATGAAAATAAATAAATAAATAAATGGCCGGAAAAGCAAAGTGTACAACTAAATATATAAATAAGTCAACAAAAAAAAAAATCCATTTACACAATAAACAAATCCAACCACAAATGTATACAGTATATGCACTGTTGTAATTCTTTGTAAATCAAAAAAAAGGAAGGTCTGCACCTGCAGAAAGCGTATATGACCAGAAAGTTGCCCAGAATGCCTGTGATGCCCACGAACAGGATGACCACCCCGATGGTGTAGTGCGCGTGGTCCGGGACGTCCACCGTTGGAAACAGGTGGCTTGGAGCCACGGCGCCCTGGTAACAAACACAACAACAACAAAATGTGGCATTATGACGACAGAATTCCAGATTACAATCAAACAGGGGCTAGAGTGAACTGAATCAAATAAACACGTCAACTGAATCAAATAAAACCACAAATAAAAGCGACACACTCGTTAAAATAACAACAAACATAAAAAAATAAAGCAGCGGCAAGAGTGGCCCAAGGTAATGGCAACGGAATCCACTTTTCCAGGACAGTGTCCCTCATAAAAAAATAAGAAATAAAGTGCACACTCAGTGGCCCAATTTCATTAGCGCTGACAATGCAATATGGAGCGTAATTCCAAATGCGAAAAAGGAAGCTGTAATGATGGCGAGGGCCTCGCCTGACTTGTTGCCATGGCAAAGCATTTTTTTTATATTCGTTTTTTTTTTTTCCAATTAGAGTCACCCAATCATGACAACGCTTGAACAAACAGAGCTATGCCGCCGCCAAACAAACCCCCTAAACCTTGATGTGAAGTTAGTTTTTGAAGGGCAACTGGACATGGCTGAAATGACCATAACATGGCCCATTTAAAGCAAAATGGCAGAATTTTGGAGTCAGTGCAAATCAGGAAGGAAGGAAGGAAGGAAGGAAGGAAGGAAAGGATGCCGGGAGAAAAAGCTGCAAATGTAACAAGTGCATGTCAATCTGTCTGTCTCATAAGATATCGATTGCGGCCATGCAGCGCAACCGATGTCGCCGACGCTAACAAGATACTTGCTAGCTTCGCTTCAGCAATCCACCAACGGCGCACCCTCGTGCGGACGACCATCATATTCAAATAAATGATTGATTTGCGTCCCGATCGGGCCCACTGCATGCCGAAGAGGCAGTCCCAAAAGGTCCACAACGCTCCAATAAGAGATTCACCCAAAATGTCATAAATTATTCCATGATTTTAGCATCATTAAAAGGCACTAAACCCGGCGGAATACTCCCAAGGGAAGGTATGGTGGCCATAAACGGACGTAAATCAAGGCACGCAAAGTACCCCCTTTCAAAGCTGCGATGCGCGAATTATCAATTTATAGTAGGGGGAAAAAAACCTAACTAATAGGACTTTTGGTAACGATGGAGGAAAAAAAAAACACCTTTTTAATTCAATAAAAAAATGGATTTAATTACAAATTACAAGGCCAGTGAACCCTTGAATCGACACACAATGTCATAAACCACTGGAAATATCGGTCCCGGGTCTGGCACTGGTTCCCTTTCGATAACACAGGTGTGACTCATGTTCTTTTGAAATGAAAAGCGCGGAGAGGACCCCATGTAATGGTGCACCCCCACCCCCCCGACCCTAGAGAGGCACCACTTCTCCATCCCAACTTTCCACCATGACAGCAGTCACTCGGTGAGTCGATTATGCAGAGCAGCTTGCTTCCTGACAAAAAAAAAAAAAAAAAAGGGGCTTTTCCTCCAGGAAAAAAAAAGTCACAAAGCAAAACATCCACCCTCCTGCTGCTGCTTGAATGCACTTTCTCGTCGGCTTTTCGGTGCCACAGCAGCACATAAACAAACCGAATTGAGCTCACTGCGATGCTGGGGGGACATAAAACGCGTCCTGGCAGACTGAAATCCTGAGGGGCTTTTTTTTTTTGTCACATGCCAACACCCACCACAGCTGCTTTGCTTCACTTTAAGACCACCTCGCACCACTACAAGAGAAACAAGTCACTGCGTCCATTCAGGATGCTTGTGAATGACGGCAGGGGAGGATTGGAGGGATTTTGTCATTCATGCATGCATGCATGCATTCATTGATTCGCACCTACTGGCTCGTATGAATTTATGAATGAAAAAACATTTTTGGGTTCTGTCCCTCACCATCCCGTGTGTGACTGCTTTACTCACGGCTGTGGTGAGCGGCACCAGCTCCAGCAGCCGGTGCGGCGGACCGATGGAGCTCACGTTCCACGCAGGCTCTGGCGTGGGCATGCCGGGTCCGGTCAGCAGCCGGGAGTCCATTCCTCCGCTGCGCTCACACACCCACACACACACACGCACACCCACACCCACTCACACACTCACACGCTGCATGTCCATAAAAGTCTCAGCTGAGAGGAGGGCGAAGCAAGCGCGACGCGTTCATAGTGAGCGCGCAGCAGTGGAGTCCAAAGTGTGACTGCATGGGTTGATGCTGGGAGCGTTGCAGGAAGGGGGGGTGGGGGGGAAGAGGGTGTGAGGAGAGGATGGAGTTGTGCGTCTCGCACGCTCTTTTTTTTTTCCTCTCTCACTGTGCGGCATTCAATCCCACATTCACGTATTTCTCAGCACTGTGTCAGTAGGTCTGCTATTGTTTTTTATTTTATTTTTTTTTAACACCACTTTCTAGCTTTTCATCTTTAACGGTGATCTCAGCTGCGATACATCACACACGTGCACGTGCAAACACACACACACACACGCACACAAAAATACAATATTGAGAAAAAATTAATAATTGGAAAACTTTTTTTTTTTTTTTAAATATATATTTTGTCCAAATACAACTGAGCTGAGTGCTCCATTTTAAAAATCCAGCAAGGCCTAATGAACGCAACGAATGCCAACGGGCTGGCACGACTTGATTGCCGCTTGCCATGAGTCGGTGCCGGTGTACCTAATGAAGTGGCCAGTGGGTGGATTCTTTCCCATAATGCAACATGTCTCTTTGTCTTCACATCTTGGCGGTTTACGCCGCCAAGGCGCTCGCATTCGGTCTTTCCCATAATGCAACATGTCTCTTTGTCTTCACATCTTGGCGGTTTACGCCGCCAAGGCGCTCGCACTCGGCAGATCCGAGATGACATTTAAGCTGCCGGCAGCAGTAAGATAAATTGGAAATAATGGCACGGTGTCAAAAAACCCCAGAGGGATGAGAGGGATCGGAACCACGGACCCACTCGCATCTGCACCTCATCGCCGGTCGGCCTTTTATCGCATCTGACCTCCACCATCAATCGGGATTCTCACCCACAAACGACAACTTAACCCCCCGACCCTGACATCCACTTCACTGCTTATGCAACGCCGCATTCCATCAGGTGCGTTCTCAGAAATGGCACTGGTCCCAATGGGAAAAATTTGTTGTTATTATTATAAGTACACAAATAACTAAATATTTAATAACTGTATATTTATGAAAAAAATACAAATAAAAAGTTCAATACATTAATGACATGAAAGTACAAAAAATGAATTGGAAAATAGAATTTAAATTTTTTTTTTTTTTTTTTTTTAAAAAGGCATTTTTGCAGAAAAAAATGAGCGAATCTAAAACCTGTTTTGCTGGTTAACTGCGCTAAAATCCACTTGGCTGTCGCATGCCTGCGTGTTCAATTTCCACCAATAATACAGGGCTAATGCTCCCAAATACCGACTAATTCTTCGTAATGCGCGCTAACTCTCAGAGCGTGCCCGGCAGAGCGCCTCTCGGACGCTACAACAGAGAAATTGGGACCGTAGATCAAATTCCCCAGCTGTGTGTGTGTGTGTGTCGCATCACTCACAGGAATACATCCGGAATCTTTTGCGGCCCCTTGACCTTTGCGTGGCCTCACATCCATCTGCCTCCCAGCCACCACCCAGAGGAACACCTTCAATCACTCATGGCGCCTTGAAACAAACAAACAAAACAAATAAATAAATAAATCCAAGCAACGCTTTTTAGGACACAAGTTGCGCTCCCATGATGCCGAGCGGCGGTTGGCATTCATTTAAGAGGATCACGTCTGTTGGAAACAAGAACAGCCTTTGTGACACCAGCACGTCTCCCGATCTGGTCCAATAGGTCGTCTTAAATGGCCAGATTTGAAATCGGGAGGTGAGGCGCAGAGCACGTCAGTACGAAGGAAGCTGTTGGGGGTTGAATTTCACCAAGTCAATCACGGGAGGCGGATATGGTGTGAATTACAGACTACTACTTGGGTACATTTAGTTTTGTTTTTTGGGGGGGCAAAACCAATCCCCAAATTAGATTGTTTGATACCGACCCTTCAAAAAAAAGTCTTTTTATCCTTTTTTTTTTTTTTTTTTTAAAGAAAATAGACCAAACAAACGTTTTCTGTGATTTTTTAAGGGTGGAACAAATTGTAAGCGCTCCACTTTTGGGTTGGACGTGTCCAGGAGGTGCGGCGCTTGTCAATAGGCCATTCATGTCATCACATGTGAACACAAGGGAGAAAATTTGGAATAGTGGCGGCAACGGCCCGAAGCGGCGACTCAGCTGACTGCCACGTCCCTTTCGTTTTCAGTCAAGTTGACCAAAGCGGTGTGCTTTCTGCCCTCGGCCCGATGGCGCTCAGGCAAACGGGGACATTCCCGCAAAGATTTCAAACACGACGTGAGACAAGCCAATCACAGTGCAACTATGTGATGTCATTCCCAATGGCGACGCCAAAAAAGTTACTGGGTTGTGCTAGCGACGTTTGTATTGGCCTCAAAAGCAGAGCATTTCTTTCAGCAATCTCATCTTTGTTACCTTCACGACGTTAATGGCCTCCATGCTGAACTTGGCGCACCTGCCCGACTACGTCATCGTCAATGCGACCACTTAACAACTCCTTCTACGACTACTACTACTACTACTATGTTTACTTTAGGTGTACACTACTGCCACCTTCTGGTTTGGAGATTGTATCGAAATCTATTTTCTTTCCGCCCTTTCTTTTGAACGCGGTGTACTTCACGCTCGCTGGCCCCGATTGAGGAATTACACGGCGATCAAGTGGACGCTTGTGCTCTTTCACAGAAGTTACACGAGCAAGCCATTTTCTGACGTAACAGGAAATATAAACGTCCTTACGGTACTGTATGTCTCGGATATGCAAGGGTACAAGCGGAGGTCACGTGGAAAGACGTTCTCGGCGAGCTCTCCTGCTGCAGCTTTGTGCCGCGTGAGAGGCTGCCAAGAAGTGAAGCCAAGCAAAGACACTTGTGAACCGCAAGGTGACATGTCAGCGAGGCCCGTCTTCTAGTCCTTCATGCAAATCATGTCACTCGAGAGTGGGGTCAATTGTCAGGTCGCGGGGGGGAATTTAACCTCCTTGTTGTTTACTTGCTTGCAAAGAAATGATCACTTCTTATGTAGGATGCCGATTGATTTCTTCGGGTCTAATGACGGCGCGCTGGAGCTCATCCCGGCTGTCGGTGGCCGAGATGTTCACACTTAGATTTACACTTCAGGACAATTTTGACACTTTACTGAACCGAGCATCCTTATTTTGGGGAATTTAAGAGAAGGCCGGAGTACTTGGAGAAGGTTCAGAATATCAGGCAAAGATGCTTCAAAATATGCACAATGTCAACATAAGAATCAGCTGTGCTTATGATGGAGTGAAATAAGGACTTTGATTTATAAGGGGGGGGGGTTCGACATAGTCAATATTCCTCATTGAAGTGTTTTAAAATTTTCCTTAGGCTCATCCAGCCCCACTAAAAAAACTTTTTTTTGGTGGGGGGTGGGGATGTGTGCATCCCTAATGATGAAAAACAGCACCCTATTCTACAAGTATAAACACTGTCTTGTAAAGGCGGGGAAGCAGAAGAATCGAGACAGGGGAGTAGGAGTTATAAAAAAAAAAAGAAAAAAAAAAGACCAAGCATAAGCATATGCGCAAACTGACGAGAGGAGATGAAGCACATCTGGACGCGACACGAGTGGCTGGAGGAAGCTGATTGGTCGATAGGCGAGGAGCAGGCCTGATGGGAACAAGGTGAAGACGGGGACGGACAAGCGCGGCTCCGGATTTGCGCCGCTTGCTCAGTGACAAAATGTTTCAAGATGGAGGTGGAAACATCAGCTTTGTTTTTTTGGTTTGTTTTTGTTGTAGTGGATGACGTCCCCGCGTTCTGGGGGCCAATGAACGTAGCCGTGTGACGACGCATCTCGGATGAAAAGCGAACCTGACCCCAACCAACTTGCGTTACGGCGCTCCGGAGCGAAAATGCCCCCTGAGCTGTGCTTACAGCCGGCGAGCAACTGCAGCCTGATGGCGAAGACGTCGGAACTGATGTCACTGCCTCATTATCACTTCTGCCTTCTCTCTTTCGCTTTACAATCCCCCCCATCCCACCCTTCCCCATTCTGCTTTGCTTGTTAACCGGCACCAACTCGTCTTTGTTTCTCCGGCTAACAACATTTGCTGCTCCGCGGGCATGCGGGAGCCGCCATTCCAATGAAGTAGAAGGCGAATGAATACTGACAAGACGTGGCGCCACGAAAATCAGCTAATGGCGGACCTTACAAAGGGAATAATGACCACTTTTGATTGACAGCTGTTGATGAGCATTGCCACTTAGCATAAATCCCCTTTTGCTTTAATTGGAGTACATGTTTTGTTGGGGAAGTTGGAAGGGGTTTTTTTTTGTTAGTTTTTTTACAGGGTAGTTCTACTAAGTTAGTTGGTTACTTTGTGAGTTGCCTCGGTTGGTGCTTACTGGTGAGGTACTTGATTGGTTGTTACTCAGTTGGCTTGGTCACTCAGTCAGTCGGTGATTAGTCAACCGGTTGACTGGTTAGCCACTGGCTTGCTCAATCCATCAGTTTAGGAAGGCAAAACTTTTTTTTTTTTTTTTTTTTAATTGGCTGTCATCAGATGGGGCACGCATGCCTAATCTTGGCATGGACTCAATCCCATATAAACATTCATTAATTCCTTCGTCTCCGATGGCGCTAATCCCTTTAACCCCTTGATTCCATCGCTCGCCTTCTTGTGTCGCACGTCTCAACCCTCGTTAGTCTTTTCTCGCTTTCTGCCATCTGGACATCCCATGTCCGACCTGCTGTCCTCCTCCGACACACACGCACACACACACACGGGGGCAAAAAAAAAAAAAAGACCTAATATAAATTCTGCCTCATTTTGCAAGTGATGGCCAGATAGAAGAAGCAGTGTCGTTCCGTCAAATTTCACGCCACATTTGCACAGCCCATTAAAAATCAAGTGTCATATCCAAGTTGGGGTTGCCATGTACCCCAACCCACCCTTATTCCAGGTACTGCACTTCCTTTGTGTTCACATTGAGCCTGACCTTGTTAGACGTTGCATAACAGAAGCAGATTACAAGCCGGAGCGAAAGCTTTACAAGGGATCATTTGTGCAAATGTACCGAACAAATCACAGCGGCAAAGCAGAGCCCACGCGCCACTGCAAGGGTTTTCATTTCAAGTGTGCACTTTCAATACACAATCTACAGTCACAACGTTGTCCTAAACAACGCTCTGCCTTTGCAAATGCCTCATGCATCGAGTACGTACACTGTATGCATTATATATATATAGTTCTATCTCCACACACACACACACACACACACACACACACACACACACACACACACACAGAGGTTATACAGTCCCAAGCTTTTCTCTGGGCTTGTATCCCTGTTGTCTTTTATGATGGAAGGGGGGGAATAAGCGAGAGGGAAAAAAATAATATGCAAATCTAATGCTAATGCAATCTTTGATAGGATTAATAAGGAAAGACAAGTGGGTGGAGGGGGAAGAAAAACAAACAACAAGAGACGCAGAGGCAAAGGCAAGCAAGGTTTTTCGAGTCAGAAGCCGAAGTTCTCGAGTCGCGCTTGATAAAAGACATTTCAAGTGCTGATGGACAGGGCGAGCGGGTGAAGGTGACATATTAACTAACCGTTGATGATTGGAGGACTGTCGTGCACTTTGCTTTGGAGTCAGCCAACAAAAATTTTGTTTGTGTCGTTTTCTTTTCCTGAGCAGATTTTTCCCAAGAAACTCTCATCTCTCTCTCTCTCTCTCTCTCTCTCTCTCTCTCTCTCTCTCT